TCTTCTAAGGACTCTTTCTTTCTTGGCTTGTCTCTCTTGTTTCTTCACATGACTTATCCCTCATACCTGACTTTAGCCTCTTTGGGATAGGATACTATTTATTCTGGATTAAGACTCATTTATATAATCTCATTTTACCTACATACCATCTTTCAATTTCCTATCTCTGAATTAAATCACAGTACAAGTTATTGGCAGGTTATGAATGAAGCATATGAATTCTGGGCTATACAATTCCGATCACAAAACTGCTACATAAAATGATTCCCCAACACTGCTACATGAAAATTATTCCTAAAAATTCTTTTTATTTATTGATTCAATGTTTTTTATTTTAAAAATAGTGTACAGAGGGGTTACATGAGTAAGGTAATGAATACATTTCCTGTTGAGCATTGTAACCTCCTCTGTTTTTTCCCCCTACCATCCATTCCCTCCTCAAATCCCCAGCTCCCCTGAATCCTTGTTTCAGTGTTTTGTAAAATTCTAAAGATGCAGTATGTAATCTGTTTAAACCTTCGGTGTTTTGTTTTGTCACGTAAGGTACTTTTTCAATGATCAAATCTCCAATAATATGTGAATCACAGTTATATAAAAACAAATTAAACAAACAAACAAAAAAAAACCCACAAGAACATTTAGAACTTTACTCTTTCCTCCATAAGTACTCTCTGCCCTGACATTCCTAAGGATATTCATCCATCCTCTGATAATTGGAGTGGACTTCAGATATAAGTTATTCTGGTTGACTTTTACAGTTCAGGCAGCTCATTCTCAGAAAAAAAAAAGAAAAGAAAACATTAAAGGTCATAAAAGTACAATTTCTAAGAGCCTGGGTCAAATTGTACCAGTTTTAATGTTAAAACATTATCATTCTAAAATGCTGCCTTTGTAAACATCACCAATTTTCTGTCAATTCTTAGAATATTTTATGCAATCAATTGTGCTAAGCTTTCAACAGAAAAAAGCACAATGAATCATCTTGACTTTAAAATGATGCTGATTTGCAACTAGTGTTGAGAAGCTTCCAGAGAACATGATCACATACTATCCTTGCACTCTGCCCTACCTGACATTCTGCAGTTATACCAATGTTATTACACATGCATACACCGTGACCTTTGTAAACTCCTTGAAATAATTAATGCCAAAACTAGATACTTCACCTTCAAGTTAACAAAAAGCTATTTAGAAATGTACGTGGATGTACTGGCTTTTTCTAAAATCACTTTGTTGATAATATGTCAATTCCTTTCATCTGTACCTTTGAGTATTACTCAGTAACATCCAAAGAATCATTTTCATTTTTTTCTGTTTCTTCTATCTTTAATTTTTTTGAAGATACCATCAGTACATCTTGAAATTGATAACTTATCTGAACAGCCTTGAAATTAGGTATTTTCCATTCATAGAAATACAGACAAGAGGTTTAGAAAAATATAAAAATATAATTTGATTTGGTAAGTCAGGTACACCAATAGGAATGTACATTATATTATAAAGAATATATGAGGAAATATATATTCTAAAGAACTATTTTTTCTCAAAGTTATTTTCACTATTAACAGTAAGATGATGAAAAAGACAAAAGATGTCAGAAATATCATAATTATTCTGGGCCAAGCAAACTTTCTAGGTCCAATGCCAGTATTTTATTTCATTGTTTTTTCAAAAATAATGATCAAGCATTTCCTAACATATTATCAAACTTGTTCAAACATGTTATCAAACATCTACTAAAAACAAATACAAATACATTAATGTACAGATGGACATATTGTTTTATTTATTTGTATTTTTTTATGTACAGAGGGGTTACAGTTACATAAGTAAGATAACAAGAACATTTCTTGTCAAGCTTTTACCCCTTTCCTCACCATTTGTCTCACCATTCTTTTGTTTCGCTTCCCTTCCCTAATTCAGATAAATGTATATACAATACCAGGGTGCCAAATTCAAATACAGTGACAACAGGGAATTTATCTTAGAGAGAATAACCTTCAAAACAAGAAAACATATAGCACACTAAAAACAACAACAAAGCCAAACCTCTTGTCAGATGGACATATTCTTCTACCACATTTTAGACTAATGATTTTGAGTGAATCATACACACTGAATAGAGAAAAGTCATGTGTTTTGTATTAATTCTCAAAAATGAGTAACTATGAAAACTCCATACAGAACTCAAAATTGAACTCTTCAGTTTTTTTTTTTTCCTACGAGAATATAATTATCTTCCTAAAGAACTCTCAACTGTTTTTTGTTGTTGTTGTTGTTGGTTTGTTTGTTTTTGTCTGTCATGGGGCTTGAACTCTGGGCTTCAGCTCAAGGTCAGCTCTCTACAGCTTGAGCCACAGCACTACTTCCGGTTTTCTAGTGGTTTATTGGAGATAAGAGTCTCATGGACTTTTCTGCCCTGGCTGGCTTTGAACAGTCATCCTCAGATCTCAGCCTCCTCAGTAGCTAGGATTACAGTCATGAGCCACCAGTGCCTGGCCTCTCAACTGTTATATTAGGCAAGTATTACTATTTAATATAGTTTTATTAATTTGCTATTTTTTTCTTTTGGTACTCTTAAAGAAATTAAGAATGTACTTATAGACAAGAATGATTTTGTATTATTGGTGATCTGGTATAGTTTGTTATTTATAAAATTGCATTGTTTTTACTTTTATCAAACATACTTTCTGAATTTAGAAAAAAAAACTATTGTCAGCAGGGAATGAGGTTTTTTTTTCTGTTACTATGCTGAAGCATATTAATCTGTTCTTGATGTTAATTCAAGCTTATTCATGAATTAAGCCCAGTTTTGTTACTATTTTATTCATCAGTAAATTGCATTAAAATCTGTTGTGATTTGTGTGTCTATGGTCATTAAGGACCTAGATTTCTGTTCTTGAAATGTTCATGTTAGGTTGTATATTTGTGTTGTTTAAACATAATAAGTTGACCATTTCTTAACACCAATAAGAATTCATGGATTATTAGGATTCTTTCTTAAACATATGGACATATTATCCAACTAAAATCAAGTTAATAGACTCATAGAAAAAAAATCATTCTGATAGTTCATGTGTGTTTAATCAAATTTTACTTCACAAATATATATTACAGATTTTTCCAATTAAATAAGTCAATAAAACTATTTAAAATTGGAAAATAAGTGATTTAGAATAATTCACTGAGGAAGACACATGGGTCTGTACTTTCTTGTGAGGAAATATTAAATTATAAATTCAATAGATCACAATTTTTCTTAATGTTGTGATTATCCTTAAAGTTCAGAATCACAGCATTCCAATTCTTTTTTCATAGAACTCTTCTTGAGTTCTTGGCTACCATGGAAACAGGATAAAAGCAGAACCAAAAGGAACCACATATCAGGTAAAACATTTTCTCAGTTCAGTGACTGGTGAAAATTGTCCAATTAAATTAAAAACAGACAATGAACGCTTATAGGTTTTGTCTTCAATTTTATATTACTTCTTATTCTATACCATTATGCTTTTTTGATTTTTAAAATAGTGTGAGCACATAAAGAAGAATAAAATTGTTTTAGACTTTATTGCAAATTTAGCAGTTAAAATGTTAACAGCAATAAGTATATTATAAAATAAAGTTAGAAAATATTCATTATTAAGTGATTTGGGATTATTCTATTTAAATTTAAATTTATACCCTAAACCAATAAAAATTTGATATGATGATGCCAATTATAAAAGTATCACAAATACACAAACATACATACATATGTGTATATATATATACATATATATGTATATATCAGTACTCTGTTATTTTCTGAGTGATCATATGTTGCTGATACAAGAACAAAAAATTTTCCAGGTGTATTTCCTTGAGATCACATATACTCTTATGTACTAATGCTCTTTAATTAGTAGTCTTCAATATTTAATTCTTTTTCAGCTTCTCTATATAGTGTTTATTATTTATGAACTCTTAAAAATATTAATATTTTAAATCAATAGCATCACTTACATGAGCAGGGATTAGGTACATATTAATTTAATAATCATGAAATCAAATATAATCTTTCTTTGGGGATTTTTTTTCTTAAAATATCATGATTAAAATTCTACCCAAAGTCACATATCTGACTCAATGTGTCAGAACACTAAATGACATCACTATTATGACATAAAATGTTGCTTGGATATTTTCTGTCCAGGAACTAGAAGTAACAGGGAGCTCAGAGATCACAGAAACGTGTGTGTCTGAATACTTTATACTATTAATAACAATTAAATGTTGTAAACATTTAAAATTAAATATTGTAAACATTTAACAGTTGTGAGTGTGTATGTGTGTGTGTGTGCTTGTGTATCTGTGTGTGTATGAGTTGTCCTTGGACTCAGGCCCTGGGCCTCTGTCTTTCTTTTTACTCTACTACTTGAGCCACACCTCCATTTCTACATTTTTTGGTGCTTTTATGGAGATAAAAAATTTTTGGACTGTCCTGCCAAGGCTAATTTCAAATTGTGATCGTCAGATCTCAGACTCTTGAATAAATAGGATAACAGGCATGAGCCACAAGCATACAGCTTAATTATATAGTTAAGACATGTTTCCAAGAGAAGCATTTTAAATATAGTATATTTCTGTGTTTATAATAGGAAATATATAAAACCAATTAGTGAAAGACTAGTATTTAGGAGAAATCATTTAGCTTATACATCTAGACAATAATTTAATGTATTAGCTTTGATTCAATATCTATCAAAAATTATTGTTTTTATTCATTTATGTTATGATTCAAACCTAGTTTGTGTGATATTAAAGCCAATTCGATAACTTTGATTCCTATTTTCAGTTTCCTTCATCAGTGAGTCTTGCAAACCTTTGTGTACATCTCTGATTTATTTTTTTTTCTGATACAGATCAAGACAAGAGCCAGTAATCTTTGAAGACTATATCAACAAATGTACTTCTTTTTTCAGTAGTAAATACTAGCTCAACAGGAAACGTATTAAGAAATTATGGACATCTCTAAGTCAAAATGGATCAATAAAGAGAAGATATTATGCTTGTTTTCCTCTTTATTTTCTTATGCCCAAGATCAAAATAAATGCAAATGTGAATCTCATAAAGTGGAAAAATGCCTTTGCAAAGAAAACAAGGTATCCAGAGATGAAAATATGGCTCTTAGAAAGGAAAATAAGTCCCTGTGGGGAGAAAACAAAGCCCTTCGAGAAGAAAACAAAGGCTTTAGAATGAACAATCAATTCATCAGGGAGAGGAATCAGCTCCTGAGACAGCAAAACCAGGTCCTGTGGAAAGTTAAAAGGGTGGTTTTGGAGAGTCAGAAACTATCTGGAGAAATCATCAATGCACTCAGCACAGAAAGAAAGTCTTACTGGCAACAGAATCAAGCCCTGACTGCTCAGATCAAGGCTCTCAGGCAACAAGAAAAAGCCTTCCAGAATGAGTCAAAAGCACTTGAGGAGGAGATTCGATCGCTGCAGGAGGAGATCAAGGCGCTGCAACATCAAGAGAGAGCAATCAGAATGGAGGAAATGGCCACACTGAAGGAGGGCTTAGCTCTAGAGAAAGAAGAGCGAGCTTTATGGAAGGAGGAGCAGGCTCTCCGTGAAGAGAACAAGGCTCTCAGAGAAGAATACAATGCTCTTCAGGAGGAGGAGAAAGCCCTGCAGGAAGAGACAAAGATCCTTGAGGAGTGGAATGGTATTCTTCAGGGAAAGAGCACAAGTGGCCTTGCTGAGAAACCAGGCAGTGACAGAATAGAACTAGGGAGCTGTGACCCGGAAGTGCAATCAGAGAACTAATGAAAAGCTTAACACACCATATTGACTCATGATGGCAGTCAGGAGTGAAAATTTACATTGCCCACGATGTGGTCCTGGGAACTAAATAAATTTGTGAAACTTAAAAATAACGCGGCTCTTGAAGTTTACTTATTGTTTACCTTGTGTGGTGTAAATATTAGATTACATTGTCAAAGATGGACCAATCAAACCATGTGGAATTGATGGCTCAAGTGGATTTGCCCTTTATTTTCAGAGACACTGGAAAAATACCAGTACCTCCTTCTTATATAAAAAGAAAACATCGCTCTTAATGTTAAATTTATAAATGGCATAGTGAAATACAACTTTCTATATATTCACTTCACAATTATTTTCCTTAATTATTTCACTTAATTGAAATATTGAAGTAGTAAGAATTTGTGTGATAATAGAAAATATGTAATGATGGGCTAGGTAGGTGGCTCAGTGGTAGAGTGCTTGCCCTGGGTTTGATTCCTCAGCACCACATAAGCAGAAAAAGCTGGAAGTGGTGCTATGGCTCACTAGCTTTGAGCTGAAGAGCTGAGGGACCTTGCCCTGGCCCAGAGAGTTCAGGCCCCATGACCGACAACAAAAAAAAGAAAATGTGTAATGAGTGTCCACACCTTTCCAACTTTCTGTTTTTCTCTTGTTTTTCTTTTATTTACTATAGCCTTAACAAATATTTAATATCATTATCAGACATAATCCATGTATTTTTTCAGTATTATGATCAGAGGAAACACTGGTTTTAGAGTGAAGATAGCTCTCAATGTCTCTTCTCACCATAAAAACAGACATTATTACATGATAAAGCAGCAAAGATTCAGGATAAAATGGAAGTATAAGTCCTACTAGTTGGAAAATCAATTGACAAGATGTAGACCAGTAAGATTACTACAGAATTTTTATCTTATATCACATTTTGCAAATGAGAAATTATATCATGTCTAAAGCACATTATTTGAATATAATTCAATTTTATATCTCAGTTGAATATCACATGAATCATTAATTTTCTACTAAGATTTCCAGTTCATACCATGCATGTGAAATACTATATAAAGAGCCATTGTTTACATTCATATAATAAACTACATAGAGCAGAGTTGAGAAACACCTTTGAATCCAGTTGATTGTGAATAACTTCTTTGCATTTGGCCTTCCTATATGAAAGAGGAAAGGATAAAAAAAAAAACTCTCAGGAGAGGGGCTGAGAAAGTGGCTCAGTGGTAGAGCACTTGCTTTGTATTATGAGGCCCTGGGTTCGATTCCTCAGCACCACATAAGCAGAAAAAGCCAGAAGTGGCGCTGTGGCTCAAGTAGTAGAATGCTAGCCTTGAGCTGAAGAGCTGGGGGACAGCGCCCAGGCCCAGAGTTCAAGTCCCACGACCGGACCCAAAAACAAAAACAAAAAAACTCAAGAGAATATTATTGTTGAGCAATTATAGTTGAATAATAATGTTAAAAGTTTAAATACTTTGAAACATTTGTTGCTTCTATTGTAACAGATATAGACATTTAAACACCTTTCATAAGTCCACATAATTTAAAAATTGTCTAAATAGATAAACGTACTTAACATTAGGGCCATCTTTGCTGACTTTCCATGAATTACTTGACATTTGGTGTTGGATATTTTGTGAGCAACAATACTGCACAAACCACACTCTTGCAGGTTCCACAAAGGGTAAACACCTGCAGTTTATTTACATGTAAGAGAGCTCATGGGCATCACCGTTCCTCAAATCTAGCACACAATCTCTAGGGTAATGAATGGTTTACATGGATGATACAAATATCTTTTTAAAATAGACTTTATCTTCCTTCAAGAGACCATGGTGTCTAATGATAAATCCTAAGCTCATGTGATTAAAGTTGAGAGGCCTGGATCCATTCTTTGTAAACCACTTATGCTCAGCAAATCACCTAACTCTCCCATATAATTCCATATAATGCCTGGAAGATTTTATTACAACTTTTACATCCTTGACCTACTCCTTAAAAGTTTATTTTTGCCAGTTTTTCCTGTATATATCTCTAAAATGTTATCCTGTTCACCTTTCAGGAAAGGTTTTTAGACCCCAGAGTGTGTGTGGGTGGGGGGAGGAAGGGAAGCTAGAGTATATTTATGATTCCTGCTTTCTCCAAGTTACCAAACTCTTTCAATGTAGCACATGATATTAGGTAATATCATTTTCCACCCTATTTGACTTTATTTAGGCTTTTGTCTACTTTGCCTTACTTCACTGTGCTTATTATCAGGATCTTGTTTATCCTTCCAATCTCTAACTCTAATGAAGTCAGGCTTTTGACTTCAAACTGCACATGGGTAATTAGTTCAGAAATGTGCTATTCATCTAATTTCTTCTCTGCTTTCAGAATTCCTATCTCCATCATAAAAGAAAGCCCACTGGGTGGGAGTATTAAGTGACTAATAAAAAGACAGCTAAAGCCTGGCTGGGTGCTCCCAAGAGGGAGAGGTAATGCCTAGCAAGAAGCAAGCTATGAATTTGACCCCTCGGGGACAGAAAAGAAATCCATATTTTTATTATGCTTCTTTAAAAATAGTCTATATGATTTTATGTATGATTAGTGAAGGTATGAAAGTACTGAAAAGAGCTCAGAAGAAATTGAGACTAGAGATTCTTTTATACTTAGGATACCCAGAACATAGAACCATCATAGACTACAGGGCAATCCCAAATTGCTCAGTAGAATGTTTCAATGGGATATCATGTATAGATAGAGAAGCTAGGGAAGTATGAGTTGTTTCTGAAATTAGATATTTTACATTGAAAATCATGATAAACTAAATTCTGAGTGAAAAATTAGAAGTACATTTAATTTTTGAATAAAGGACAGCCTCTAGTTTGTTTTGCTAAATATCATAGTGATTACAATAGTCATTATTAGTGATTCATATAAATTGTGTTCTTATTTCTAAAAATTAATAAAAAATTATTCAGTAATATTTAATTCTATCACCATAGTTGTACATTAACTTTCCAACTCTACTAACCCAGGATGTATCTCTGAGGGAGTGAAATTACAATGACTTAGATGGAATTTGTACATCCAAATAATATCTTGAACCATTGTACTTATAGAAACTATCATCACTATAATTGCAAAGAACATGTGAATAGAGATAAAACATATTGGTATCCATTTCAGCTGAACAAAAAAATAAATTTTATTGTCAATGTTTCTATCCCTGTAAGAAATAAAGCCCCATGAAGTGAAATAGAGTGGCCCTTTATAAAACTCATAAGCATTAGGGATTTGACTTCACAAGTTTAATAGTTTGGAAAAGAGCTGTATGTAAATAGCTTGTTGTGTCCACTGAAATTGTTTTTCTGTACTAAATCTGATCTAAACCACAACACTTGATTTGATCAAGAAAATGTGACTACTAAACTATAAAAAAAGAAAAAAGAAAAAGCAGTTTTCTGGTTGCACCTTACTCTTTACTATATCAACCGCTGCCTTCAGAATTTTCTGGGCTAGCTTCATATAGGTGTCAAATGTTTTTACAAGATTCATTCATTGAAGAGTCTCATTGGAAACCAAAAGATCTCTAAGCATACACATGTGCATAAGCTAGGCAAAGAACACTCCAGAAAAAAGAAGCATAAACCAGTATATTTACTGTTCTGCTTGTTTTGCCACAATATGTTATTGATGATGAGAGTCTGATAAGTAAATTATCTTCTCATTATTCTATATTGCCTACTCAGAAAATTCCTTAGTACTTAAACATGAAAGTTAATATATTCTATTTCATTCACTTTTGTATGAAAAAATCTACTTACAAATTGGTTATATGAAATCTAGATATAATGATTAACGAAAAACAAGATATGACATTCAAAACATTATTAGTAAATTGTTAATTTTGTATGAAGAGAAACGTGTAAATAATCTTGTTATAACTAATGATGAAATTTCAGCATAATATATATTAACTACTTTAGTCAAAGGACACCATGACACATCTCATTAATTATGTGCTTATGACAAGAAACATAAGTATTGTAAATTATACCGAAGTAAAGAAAAATGTATATAGGTTATACTGCTCATTTGTATTCAACTGAGGAAAAGTTTTGACATAATCAGATAGATGATTTTCAGCTCATTTAACAGAAATTATACAATCAAAAGCAGTCAGTATAATTTTAGAAAATTGAGCTGTTCTAGACTAACTATATTTCTTTTTTCTAGTACAAGCTCTTAATTACTAGTAGACCAGTGAAAATATACCCTTATTTCAATGGCTTCATACCCTGGTTTTCATTCTGTTCCAGAGGCCCCATGGTTCTTGATCCAGTTTTGATCAATATAGGCATTACCAATATAGGGATTACACTGTTGGATACAAATGGAAATTAAGCTAACTTGGCAGATTTCAAATTACAAAGATAGCCATGATCTCTATCTTTTCTTAATCTCTTTCTATCTCTCTCTCTCTCTCTCTCTGTGTGTGTGTGTGTGTGTGTGTGTGTGTATTTATTTGACAAAAGCATCACTTTAACTAAGACTGATCACAAACTTGCGATCTTCCTGGCTCAGCCTTTTAAGTACCAAGACAATAGATGTGTTTCAATAGACTTGACCAAAAGGCTATTGAAAGAATTCCACTAAGAATTGCTTAATTCCAAATAAGCCACAATTCTGGCTCAGGCAGACATTTATTTATTTTTTATTCTTTTTTGTGCCAGTTGGTACCGAACATATTACTTAATGACCTGGAGGAAAATCCTCAATAATGTGATTTTGTTTTAATTGTATGGGAAAAAATTTAAAAATGGGACAATCTGAGTTGCTTCCAGGAATTAATTGTCCTTATTTGAGTTATTAGTTTCAGCCTTCTCCAAGAGCACGGATGAGTCATCCAATATTCACATTCTATCTGAAATCAAAGACAATCCTCAATTTTGGAGATTACACCTGTCTTTTTATTTTTTGCCCGTTGTGGGGCCTAAACTCTGGGCCTG